GGTATCCACTTTGTGTGGCGGTGGTTGCCTGGGTATGTAATAAAGACTCCAGCACCCCCATTTTTAACCGCACTGGTTGCTGATCCATCTGTGTAAACATGTATCCATGACTGTTCGGGATAGTTTTCATGAATCATGCTAAGAGCAGCTGTTTGTTTTTGAAGATCATTGGACTCATCTCCAGTTGTGAATCCATTGACTGAAGTCATTATCTGTATTGTGTCACTGACTTGCTCCCAAGGTACAGGGTATAGGGTAGGTTTCAGCGGTGTTGTTCTAATAGGTAGATCAGCTTGATACTGTCTTCTAAGTCTTTTCCCCCGATGGACAAAGTTGCTACGTTTGAGACGCCCTAATGCCAGATCATCTAACCTTTTATTCATTGGGTGTGACTGCATACTATTAAACTTCTCCATCTGGATCATAGTTTTAGTGTCTCTTCTATAGGACAGTGTCTGCATTGCAGTTATTTTCTGCATCTTCAGGATTGGTGCAGTTTTCATGGATCCTGTGATGAGTCTAAGGGCTTGATTTTACACTCTGTCTAACGATTGTAGATGGGAATTAGCAGCTGTTGACCATGCTGTTGCACCAAACTCCAAGTGGGGTCTTATCGCGCCATTATAAACTTGTTAGGGTTTTTCCATTCGCTCCCCATCCTGTACCTGCCAGGTTTCTAAGTAGGACTAGTCGTCTCCTGGCCTTCCCTTCTACATTTTCTATATGTTTGCTCCATGTGATCCTTTTATCAAATGTTACTCCAAGATAAGTGGGGAAGCTTTCTTCCTTTAGCAAGGATGTTCCTAGGTGAATACTAGCAGCTTTGTCCCTGGGGGAAAGAGAGAAAAGCGTTGTGGATGTTTTGTCTGTGTTGATGGCAACATGCCATTTTTCTGCCCATGTCATCAAGAGATCTGCTGTTCGCTGCATTCTTATATTTGCCACTGTGGTGTGTTCATCGTTACACCAAAGTGCCAGATCATCTGCATACAGGGCAGCTTTTACTCCCGTAGGGAGGTCTTTCACCAGATCATTTATATACACAAGAAAGAGAGTTGGAGAGATAACTCCTCCCTGTGGTACTTCTTGCCAAAGTAACACTTTTCTACTCTGCTGGCCATCAAGACTGACTCAAGTTCTCCTGCTGTGTAAGAAGGATTGGATCCATTTTAGCATGTTTCCTTGAATTCCATTTCTCTTCAGGTTTGCAATGAGACCATCTTTCCAGACTTTGTCAAAAGCTTGTTTGAAGTCAACCCATACCGCCAAGACATTTTTCTTCTCTTGGAAGGCATCCTCTACAGCTTGTGACAGGTAGGTGACTTGGTCTTCTATGCTGTGACATTCCCTAAACCCAGCCTGCTCTGGCACCAAGATCTGCTCAGATTCTAAGTGCCATTTCAGTCTTGAATTTACAATTCTTTCCAATGTCTTTCCTATACAGCTCGTGAGACTAATTGGGCGATAGCTCGAAGCCTGTGTCTTAATTTTTCCTTTTTTTAAAATGGGTATTGTGATGGCTTCTCTCCATACTTGAGGCACCAAACCTTTCTCCCAGCTGATGTTGAAAATTTCCAGCAGCTTTACTTTAGCAGATGAGGTCAGGTTGATTAGCATTTCGTTGCTGATTTCATCTGGACCTGCAGACTTTTTTAACTTAAAACTAAAGATGGCATTTTGTAGTTCGCCCATGGTAAATGGCTTCCTCATAGAGGCAGGATTTTGCAGGCATATTCTTTATTTTACTAAAGATTAAACCTGGGAATAAAGTATACTATGCTCTTCAACATCTGCTAAAGTCAAAATAAGACATTACCGCAATTTGAAATAGCTTTTTTTTTTTAAAAACTATGGCAGACAACACCTGTTCTGAATGTTAGGTTTTAATGTTAGTTACGTATTGTTTACATGACGTTGCAGAACCAACACCAGCATTGGCTGTTGTGGTTTTTATATGCAAATATACGTCCAGTAGTTTGCCATTGTCTCTGGACGGTCGGCTTCTAAATACCACTGTCGAAACCAACGCAAGGCTCGCAGCTGGGATCGAGCCCGGCACCCCGGCATTACGAAGCGCGTGCGCAACGCCTTAGCCACAAACGCCGACGAATGTCAGATACATGATAATATTGAGCTTTGTTTACTTACTACATTGCGAGAAATATGAGCTCCAAAGATAGGTAGGTAGGTAATCAGGTAGGTAGGTATGTAGGTAATCAGGTAGGTAGGTAGGTAGATATAGTAGATATGTAGGTGGGTAGGTAGATGTGTAGGTAGGTAGGTGGGTAGGTAGATATGTAGGTAGGTAGGTATGTAGGTAGGTATGAGATTTGCTGGGGGGGGGCATAACAAGTTGTCATGTTCAACCAGCATCCCAGAAGGGGGAGCTTTAGGTTATAATTGTGACTAGCTTATGTGCGTCAGATAAAATAGCTTAGCATTGCAAGCTACCAAGAGCCCTGAAATGACTCCTCATGTGTTGACATAATCAAAGGAGATATAACTCTCCCGACCGGCGACGAAGTCGTCTACCGGGGAGCCAATGGGCGACCCAGTCGGCGATGAACTCCAAAGGACTCCCTTTAAAGATTTTTGGATAGGCGTACTTCGACACCAGGCATTTAAAGAGTTAGCCACTTTCACCCTTACTTGCTTAATAATGCCCGTTAGCAATGCTGTAGTTGAGAGAATATTTTCTCTTGTTACTTCAATAATACATGTATGACAATAGCCTATGACAAAAGAAAGCATGCTGAATGTTGAAACAATAATCGACATCACAGCATTCGAGACAATCCCATAAGCGCTCGTTCCCCATCTTCAGCAGCGAACAAAGAGTTCCAATTCCGATGGCACCAGTAGCTGTCTAATTGGATATCGATCTCGCCCTTCCACTGAGTATTGAGCGTCTGCCAGATCCCCTGATAACTCCACGCTCGCTTCGAAAGGGTCCTTACAACATCTAGCTTGTCATACATCAGTGTACCACCAAGTGGTGCAGCGCGGACCATGCTGGAAATACCTAGCTCTAGAGAACTACGGAAAGGGGTTAAACATTACACACGGAGAACAAAGATGAGTCCAAGAGGTTTCAATACTCTGAAGAAAAAAATAATTGTATCATCATCATCAGTTCTCGTCATGCCTAGTGGCACATGAGGCTCCAGAGAGGACTTTCCATGATTTCTTGTCCTGCGCAATCTTCAGTGAAGTTTTCCATCAGGATTCATTCTCATAACACGGCCAGGCCATTTCCATTTTCTCGTCAAGTATGGCGAATGGAATCCATCGTATGCCTCTCGATGACTTGTCTACTGTGTTATTTAGTATCCAATCAATCACGAGGTTGAAGAGGATGGATGACATAACACATCTCTGTCTTACACCTGTCTTTACTGGGAAAGATGTTTTGTAATTTTTTATACTACAGAAAAAGTCTTTAAGAACAGAGCAATTATGTTGACTATCTTTTCTGGGATTCCATAATGTCGTAATATTTTCTAGAGACTGTCTCTATGGACGCTGTCAAAAGCTTTCTCAAAGTCCACAGAATTAATTGTATCATAGATCCCTTTAAATATTCTCAAAGGTAGATTTCTGTTTTTATCATAATTGTTTGAAAAGTTTACATGAAGTATTTACGTAACAGTCTATACTCTCTTTAACAGTTAGTACATAACGCTGTGCAATATTAAATACCCCCCCCCCCCCCATAAAAAAACACACACACAATTGATAAACATAAATATCCATTAACCTTTTTTTTTTTTTTTTGCATTTAACGCAAACTAATAATAATTGTTTATATTACTGCGCAATGAACAAGTCGCCTCTCCACTAATTTAAGGGCGGGTCCCCTTTAAGCAATGTTTGATTGTGCAGAAATAATAATATTATCGCTGCTAAAAAAAAATTATAGGAAAATTGAATGTCTTCTTTATGATGGCACCCTGACGATAAGCCTATCCTGGTTATCCCTTCTGGGTTATTTTTAGGACAAATAGAGTTTTTTTTTGTCTATTTCAGTATTGAATTGGCACAGGAGCGGAGCAACTATGGGGTGACCCGTTTGCTATGAAGCTGAAACTAGGATTACCAGATTTTTTCTATTTTAGTATTGAATATGTAATCTTCTTTGTTCATTGGCTCCGGTAAGTCCTGGTTGTTCGCCCACCTGGACTTTTTGCCAAGGCCTCAGTTTTGCGTTTACATACGTTTTACTAGCTTATTCGTGTGTTGCCGCTCAGGAGGTCCCGAATTAGTCGACTCCTACGACACGCTTGTTAGGGAGGCAGAGGGTCTATTCTTGTTTCCTCCAGAATGGGGTCTCGGAACCCACACGGGGATGTATTGAAGTTATGCTTTTCAACTGACGTCATCCTGTTGCTAAGTACACTAGGGTCAGTGGCGGATCACCAGACTAACAATGCCCTATATAATACCATAATGTCACTTGAGCCCAAAGAAAGTTATTTAGCTACCACTAACTATAACATGTGGTGTGTTATCTAATGGTTGTAGGATCAGTCGTTCAAACCTCCCCTAGTTTTAGTTATACAGGATTTGAACGACGTGACAGAAGTCACCTACTGATATCTAGGACACGGAGAATCAGACCATGAGAAACCAACCAATCAAGTGTCAATATTTATTCATTATGTGTCATGGGGATTGCCCGCCGAGGGGGGTTTATAAACTAGGTCGTGGTATTGCCGGTAAACACTGCAAAAACAATACACTAATGTTTGAAACAAATTTTAGGAATTAAATTTAAAATACACTGTTTATATTGATACAATTATATTTTAAACGTCTGTGCTATTTTCGAAAGTAAATTTATGTAATTAATAAGGTAATTTGAAGTTTACTTATAAAAAATTATATTTGGCTGTAATTTCTGTCTTCTTGCCGGTGGCACAGCAGACGATACGGGACCGGCAGCTGGGGCTTCCGTTGGTCGATGATCAGGACTCTACCTACAGCAGAAGACGCAAGCAGTCATGGAGAATTTTACAGATCCCGTGTTTTCCTCTGATCATTTACTTAACTACTTGCCGGAAAACCCAATAAAAGAATATTTTGCAAATGCTTGGATTTATATGACAAAGAACTACACAAAGTTTCAAATTGCAACATGGGGATCACTGATCGTGCACGAGGTAAGAAGCTTTTGTTTGGCTGACTAAATTAATTGTTGTATTTAATTCATCGTCATAAAACACTTCTGTCGTTAAGCGCTATGAGGAGGAACAATTTGCAATCCAGTGACACTGGCTATTGCCATGCCGTGAAGGCGTAAAGTGTCGACAAATATTGATACATTTATCATCGCCGTCTTCTTTCTCTGTTTGTAGCTGATCCTTTACATCAGAACTGTTTAACCGTTAAACTTTAACGGAGTTTACCTAGGTGTTCAGAAGATCACCTAAAAGAGCAAGAGGACGGCCGCGGAAGAACTTCATCGACAATATTAAAAACAGTGGCAGCCAACGTGCACTGGATTGCAAATTATTCCTCCCCACGACGTTGAACGGCAGAATTGGTTTATAATGATGATGACTTAGGGGCTAACAATTTGTTTAAAATAGGGGTCGTTACAGGCCCGAAACCCAGCATATAAAAATACTAATTTAATGAATACAACTGTTATTTAGCTCAAATGCCTTCAATTGAAGAAACTGTGTTCCAAATATCACTCTTTTCCTCTTGTTTAATTGCCCTTCACCTTTTCCTCTGATGTGGTTTTTATGAAGTAAAGGAGTATTTTCCCACACCTTCAGATATATAGAGCAAATAGGGTAGACCTATATTTTATAGACAAATCTGCACTTGGGGCGAAGGAGGGTGTAGGGATGTGGTTGACATCATGCCAAGCATATTTACTTTCCAGGACTGCACCTGGTACCCACTCAAAGTTGGGTCGACCTGGGAGTCAATGTAATTTTTGGAAAAAAGTCTGACGCGTCAGGACCACCAACTGTGGTCAATATGTGGTGATTGTGTCAACCTGGCCTCCAGTGTTACAATGCCAAGGTCTGGATTCCTCCAGTGTTACAATGCCAAGGTCTGGATTCCTCCAGTGTTACAATGCCAAGGTATGGATTCCTCCAGTGTTACAATGCCAAGGTCTGGATTCCTCCAGTGTTACAATGCCAAGGTCTGGATTCCTCCAGTGTTACAATGCCAAGGTCTGGATTCCTCCAGTGTTACAATGCCAAGGTCTGGATTCCTCCAGGAAACAACTGTTCCTTAGATTTTGACAGAATTAAGCACAAAGGGAAAACACATCTGCTCTCTCTGGAAGCAAGATCGAGAATAGTCCCGACCCAAGCGTCTCTCTCAGAGAAAGCGGGAAAAGATCGAGAATAGTCCCGACCCAAGCGTCTCTCTTAGAGGCAAGTCCATTTTTAAACTTAGCCTTATCTGCATAGAGGTGACAGGTTCTAGACGAGTCTAAGACAAAAGTGGTGTGGGCTGTTACAGGACAACTATAACGTCACGATTATAAGCAATGTGAGTTTTTGTTCAGCCCAAATAATATCTGTAGTTTTGGGTGGTAATAATAGTCATACTGACCACATCAACACACTGTGTAGTTGCAACCAAAACTAATGCTGTTAAATAGGTGTAGTGGCCACTACCCAAAGATGTCATGTTGTTTAAAAACCCATAAAGCAAAAGAAAACCCCTTTTAGGGGTGACAGGGTTAATCTCTGCATTTGATTGTTATACTTTCTGTAAAATACAATCTATTCTTCTGTACATCCACATTTCAGAGGCCCTCAGTTCGACTTTGTAAATGTTTATTGTTCATTTTGCAGGCTTTTGCACATGAAGTTTATGGAGAATGTAATTTTCACTATTGAATGTGTTATTTGTCCCTCTAAATGTTAATTTGTGTGAATGAATCAAGAATTGACATCTCTGCACTCGGGACATTGCCACACATGTTTCATCTCCTTTTTCAGTAGCTAGCGAAAAATTTATATGCAAATAATACCTGTTGCAACCTGATTGAAAGTCTGCCTATGTTTTCCCCGCCATATTGAACATCTTCCAGACCCCTGCTCACCCCTCGCTGAATTAGTATATCAGTGTACTTGGTCTGTTCTGTTGCACTGTCCATTTGATCCCACAGAGCCTCCAGCACTTCCCCTTTATCATAATGTAGATCACTACCCAGAAGAGTGGCAGCAGCCAGTCTAATTTGTTCTCATGCTGAATATATTTTTGGCCATTCCTATTTTCATTCTGATTTGTTTTATTTATGCCATAAAATAATATTATTTAATGCCCAAAATAGAAGAGATCTTGTTACGTGTTTTAGGATCTGTTCACTTACTGTGATGTTCATAATGTGATATTAGTTAAGGGAGTCAGTGAATGCTTTCCACACTGTGAAGCTTATTGGGTATACAATAGTAACCCCATATTCTTATAACCATTTGGCCCTCAGTGAATGATGTAGTCGATACCATGCCAGACTATTTCATAGAACATTTTCTGGTGACAGCACTGTGTAAACTGTGTTGATCTGGGAGTCTAGGTCAGATTTGTATAGGGCATAGGACAACTTTGTATGAAGTCAGTCAGCACAAGTACTTTAGGATAGCTACTTCTTCTTCTTCTTCTTCTTCTTCTTCTTCTTCTTCTTCTTCTTCTTCTTCTTCTTCTTCTTCTTCTTCTTCTTCTTCTTCTTCTTCTTCTTCTTCTTCTTCTTCTTCTTTTACCTCCTCCTCTTCTTCTTTGAGCTCACTGACTGTACACTCCAGTGGAAAGTTTTGGTTATTTCTTCGCCTCCAGATTTAGTCTTGAGTGTTGTGTGCACAGCTGTTTTGCAGATTTGGCTTTATTTTAATGGTTCCTTGCCCCTGAGGCTGATGCACTTTGACTTTGAATTAGGATAGTCGACTAGTAGACTGAGCACACATGGGAATGACCACCATGTACTAATGATAGCATAGATGGCATATAGGGCTAGACCTATATTTTATAGACCACTCAGCACGGGTGATGTGGTCAGCTTCACGCTGGCCGCCTTTACTTCCTGGGACTGCACCCGGTACCCACTCAAGGCTGGGTCGACCTGAGAGCCAAGGTCATTTTTGAAAAAAGTCCGGCTCCACCAGAGAGCAAACCCACCACCTTCTGATCCGCGGCGAACATCTAGCCGCTCGGCCACGACAACTCTCGTTAAACGATTATGCCAATCATAATTAATCTGGACCGAATTATTTTTTTTTTTCAGTTGGTTTACTTTGCTGCTTGTGCGCCAGGAATAATCTTCCAGTTTTTACCATTCATGAAACGATTCAAACTACAACCAGTAAGTAAAAAAAAATGTGAAACCTAAAGAATGTTTATTGTTTTAGTTTTGGTGAAAGCAGTACACATGGGAGTATAGGATCCAGCAAATGAGGCAGTGAGGAAAGATACTGTTGCTAGCTAGGACACACATTGATTAAACCTGCTCATATTATTGCTTTATACTGGAAAGTTGTTTTCTTTTTTCTTTCTGGAAACCATGGGGAAATGAATAGAGGATGGCCTAAAACACCAGTGGAAGAATTATAGACTGAGGGGAAAAAGAGCAGTCAAGAACCCTTTTCCACACCTTCAGGTGTATTATGCATATAGGGTTAGATCTATACTTTACTGACCAGTCGGCACTTAGTGGAGGAATCGGTTAACATTACATTGGCTGCCTTTACTTCCCAGGTCTTTACCTGGTGACCATTGAAGGCTGGATCAACATGGGAGCCAAGGTCATTTTTAAGAGAAAATCTGGCTCTGTCAAGACCTGAACCCATGAGAGCAGGACAATATGAGGAGATCATAGACAGAGGTGGACAATATGAGGAGATCATAGACAGAGGTGGACAATATGAGGAGATCATAGACAGAGGTGGACAATATGAGGAGATCATAGACAGAGGTGGACAATATGAGGAGATCATAGACAGAAGTGGACTATGAAGAGATCATAGACAGAGGTGGACAATATGAGGAGATCATAGACAGAAGTGGACAATATAAGGAGATCATAGACAGAGGTGGACAATATGAGGAGATCATAGACAGAGGTGGACAATATGAGGAGATCATAGACAGAAGTGGACAAATGAGGAGATCATAGACAGAGGTGGACAATATGAGGAGATCATAGACAGAAGTGGACAATATAAGGAGATCATAGACAGAGGTGGACAATATGAGGAGATCATAGACAGAGGTGGACAATATGAGGAGATCATAGACAGAAGTGAACAATATGAGGAGATCATAGACAGAAGTGGACAATATGAGGAGATCATAGACAGAAGTGGACAATATGAGGAGATCATAGACAGGTGGACAAAATGAGGAGATCATAGACAGAGGTGGACAGTATGATGAGATCATAGACAGAAGTGGACAGTATGAGGAGATCATAGACAGAGGTGGACAATATGAGGAGATCATAGACAGAGGTGGACAGTATGAGGAGATCATAGACAGAGGTGGACAATATGAGAAGATCATAGACAGAAGTGGACAATATGAGGAGATCATAGACAGAAGTGGACGATATGAGGAGATCATAGACAGAAGTGGACAATAGGATGAGATCATAGACAGAAGTGGACAATATGAGGAGATCATAGACAGAAGTGGACAATAGGAGGAGATCATAGACAGAAGTGGACAATATGAGGAGATCATAGACAGAGGTGGACAATATAAGGAGATCATAGACAGAGGTGGACAATATGAGGAGATCATAGACAGAAGTGGACAATATGAGGAGATCATAGACAGAGGTGGACAATATGAGGAGATCATAGACAGAGGTGGACAATATGAGGAGATCATAGACAGAGGTGGACAGTATGAGGAGATCATAGACAGAGGTGGACAATATGAGGAGATCATAGACAGAAGTGGACAAATGAGGAGATCATAGACAGAAGTGGACAATATGAGGAGATCATAGACAGAGGTGGACAGTATGAGGAGATCATAGACAGAGGTGGACAGTATGAGGAGATCATAGACAGAGGTGGACAGTATGATAAGATCATAGACAGAGGTGGACAGTATGAGGAGATCATAGACAGAGGTAGACAATATGAGGAGATCATAGACAGAGGTGGACAAAATGAGGAGATCATAGACAGAGGTGGACAATATGAGGGGATCATAGACAGAGGTGGACAAAATGAGGAGATCATAGACAGAGGTGGACAAATGAGGAGATCATAGACAGAAGTGGACAATATGAGGAGATCATAGACAGAGGTGGACAGTATGAGGAGATCATAGACAGAGGTGGACAATATGAGGAGATCATAGACAGAAGTGGACAGTATGAGGAGATTATAGACAGAGGTGGACAGTATGAGGAGATCATAAACAGAGGTGGACAGTATGAGGAGATCATAGAGAGAGGTGGACAGTATGAGGAGATCATAGAGAGAGGTCGGCAGTATCATCAGATCATAGAGAGAGGTGGACAATAACAGATCATAGAGAGGGGTGGACAATAACAGATCATAGAGAGTGGTAGACAATATCAGATCATAGAGAGGGGTGGACAATATCAGATCATAGAGAGGGGTGGACAATATCAGATCATAGAGAGGGGTGGACAATATCAGATCATAGAGAGGGGTGGACAATATCAGATCATAGAGAGGGGTGGACAATATCAGATCATAGAGAGAGGTGGACAATATCAGATCATAGAGAGGTCGACAGTATGAGGAGATCATAGACAGAGGTCGACAGTATGAGGAGATCATTGAGAGAGGTCAACAGTATGAGGAGATCATAGAGAGAGGTCGACAGTATGAGGAGATCATAGAGAGAGGTGGACAATAACAGGAGATCATAGAGAGAGGTGGACACTATCAGGAGATCATAGAGAGAGGTGGACAATATCAGGAGATCATAGAGAGAGGTGGACAGTATGAGGAGATCATAGAGAGAGGTCGACAGTATGAGGAGATCATAGAGAGAGGTCGACAGTATGAGGAGATCATAGAGAGAGGTCGACAGTATGAGGAGATCATAGAGAGAGGTGGACAATATCAGGAGATCATAGAGAGAGGTCGACAGTATGAGGAGATCATAGAGAGAGGTCGACAGTATGAGGAGATTATAGAGAGAGGTGGACAATAACAGGAGATCATAGAGAGAGGTGGACACTATCAGGAGATCATAGAGAGAGGTGGACACTATCAGGAGATCATAGAGAGAGGTGGACACTATCAGGAGATCATAGAGAGGGGTGGACAGTATCAGCAGATAATAGAGAGAGGTGGACACTATCAGGAGATCATAGAGAGAGGTGGACAGTATCAGGAGATCATAGAGAGAGGTAGACAATATCAGGAGATCATAGAGAGAGGTGGACAATATCAGGAGATCATAGAGAGAGGTGGACACTATCAGGAGATCATAGAGAGAGGTGGACACTATCAGGAGATCATAGACAGAGGTGGAAAGTATGAGGAGATCATAGAGAGAGGTGGACAGTATGAGGAGATCATAGAGAGAGGTGGACAGTATGAGGAGATCATAGAGAGAGGTGGACAATATGAGGAGATCATAGAGAGAGGTGGACAATATGAGGAGATCATAGAGAGAGGTGGACAATATGAGGAGATCATAGACAGAGGAGGACAATATGAGGAGATCATAGAGAGAGGTAGACAATATCAGGAGATCATAGAGAGAGGTGGACAGTATCAGGAGATCATAGAGAGGGGTGGACAGTATCAGGAGATCATAGAGAGGGGTGGGCAATATCAGGAGATCATAGAGAGAGGTGGACAGTATCAGATCATAGAGATGGGTGGACAATATCAGGAGATCATAGAGAGGGGTGGACAATATCATGAGATCATAGAGAGGGGTGGACAATATCAGGAGATCATAGAGAGAGGTGGACAGTATCAGGAGATCATAGAGAGGGGTGGACAGTATCAGATCATAGAGAGGGGTGGACAGTATCAGATCATAGAGAGGGCTGGACAGTATCAGGAGATCATAGAGAGGGGTGGACAGTATCAGATCATAGAGATGGGTGGAGAATATCAGGAGATCATAGAGAGGGGTGGACAATATCAGGAGATCATAGAGAGGGGTGGACAATATCAGGAGATCATAGAGAGGGGTGGACAGTATCAGATCATAGAGAGAGGTGGACACTATCAGGAGATCATAGGGAGGGGTGGACAATATCAGGAGATCATAGAGAGGGGTGGACAGTATCAGATCATAGAGAGGGGTGGACAGTATCAGATCATAGAGAGGGGTGGACAGTATCAGGAGATCATAGAGAGGGGTAGACATTATTAGGAGATCATAGAGAGGGGTGGACAGTATCAGATCATAAGGAGAGGTGGACAACATCAGGAGATCATAGAGAGGGGTGGACAGTATCAGATCATAGAGAGAGGTGGACACTATCAGGAGATCATAGGGAGGGGTGGACAATATCAGGAGATCATAGAGAGGGGTGGACAGTATCAGGAGATCATAGAGAGGGGTGGACAGTATCAGATCATAAAGAGAGGTGGACAGTATCAGATCATAGAGAGAGGTGGACAGTATCAGATCATAGAGAGAGAGAGGTGCAGGAGATGGCAGCAGTTTGAAGGGCTTAGTCTGTGCGTGGAGGTACTTAACTCCTATGTTGTCTTGATAGAAGTTTCTCTGTGCACTCACAGAAGACATCTAATGAGCAGAGACACTGCTGTTAATGAGATCAATGCTTCTTCTTGGTGTTCACCAGCTGTAAACTCCAGTGGAAAGTTCTGGTTGCTCGTCCACATTTGGACTTTTTCTTGTTCTTGTTTCAGGGCTTGGGTTTTATGTGCTCATCTGTTTTACAGATGTGGTTTATTTGTTTGCAGACTGTTGGTTTCCTGCATTTTGAGCAGATACACTGCAACTTTTTAAAAAAATACCCTTAATTTGTCATATTTTACCACATACTTGTGTGTGTGGTTGGGGGGGGGGTGTCTATTTTTGATTGGCTACAACAGTATACCAGAATCCCCACAAGGATTGGGGGGGGGGGGGGGTTAATTTTGGTAAAAGGAAGGCAAATAAATAAATGCATGGATAGCTTGGAGAAATAGCATAGTAGAGAAATCAAAACAGACCTTACTTGAGACTGAGAATTGCATGAAATGAGGAGTCATGACCAACCTTGCTGACTAGCATGGTACGTGATGCTGATAGTAACACATGGATTGGCATGGCAGTTAGTAGCAAATATCTATTGGGTCATACCAGAGTGTTCAATTTCACATTATGTTTCAGAACCGACCGGAGACATTTGACGGACAGTGGAAATGCTTTAGGCTCCTCATGTTCAATCACTTTTGTATACAGGTAGGTGGAAATAAGGAATGTTAGCTGGGTTATCATCATTGCACTCCTGACATGTCCATAGGTGATCAAATCCTCCCCTCAGCATGAACCTCAGTGTCCGGTAGCTAATAGTACCAATTCTATGTTGATTAACAAGTCCTCTGTTGTGCCTGATGTGCATCTCACTTTTTGGCTATGCTGATCTCAACTCCCAAGTCTATCATTCTGGCAAGTGATATGGATTCACTGGCCCCAAAGTCCTCCACCCTTCCCATTTCTCAGAGAGCATTAATACTATCAGCATGATCCATAGGTTGATCGCGGGTAGTGATAGCGTATCCAGCCAAGCTATCAGGAATGTGTTTTGATGAATGTATTGTGAGATAATCTTGTTTTTTTGTCTTTTTTTTTTTCACCTTTCAGTGAAATATGTTGCTCTGTTAGTTCATGGCAACTTTTGTATTTATAAATATGCTTGATTGGCTGGTGTAGCTAACATGTCTGCAGGATGGGTTAGCCAGTCTTGTGACAACCATCCTTTTGGTATGCATGGTAGGTGCAGCAACCCTCTCAGGCTCAAGTCGCATGCAGCCTCCTTCCTAGTCTAAATAACCTGTTTCCCTCTTGGTTTCTCCAAGGTTCCACGCCCGATTCATGCTTCTTCTCATTTGGCACGCTTTCAATCAACTTGCACGCTTGCCTTGAGTTATTCATTACCAGATGTATACATTATTCTTTGTGCTCGATACCCATGGGCCTCAGGAACATCCAAGACCTAAAACAGGTGGCAATGAACTGCCAGTCATGGAGAGCTATGACCTCTGCCCTAGGCTCAGATGGAAAGACTAACTAACTTGATACCATTCAACTGAACTCAGGCACATCATTTATGTTTATTAGTTAACCTCATTAAAAATTAGAAAAATGACGCATTGCAGTAGACCTTGATGGATAACAGTGTATTAGTCCCAAACTCCCCACCTCCAATCACAAGATTGCCTGGGTCACATCAATCAAATACTTTAGACTAATTTTGTAAAGTTTACTCTGGCTAAATGTGAGAAATACAATCACACTTCCTCTTCTTTGTTAAGATTCACCTGCTGTGAACTCTGGGGGAAAGTTCTGGGTGTCCTCCACTTCTGGACTTTGGTCTTATTCTAGAACTTGAGTTTTGTGTGCACATTAATTATACAGATCTGACTTATGTTTATGCAAGGTTTGTCACCTCAGCCCTATTAGTCACCTATTACAGCATGCTCGTTAGGGAGGCACCAGGCGTGGGAGGTGGAGGTCTGCCTCTTACATTGTTTTCCCAAAAAGCTACCCTTACCAGCGTTCTGTCCAGGCCACTGTGCCATTAGCACTGTCACCGACCGCCTATTGATCACCCTACTCAGAAAGCATGTTGAGGAAGGTGAGGACAGGCATGCTTCATGCTGAGTGGCATGCTTGGCTTCGGATGTCACGGGTGAGGAGCATTGTCTGGATTTTTTCTTTTCTGGAATATGCCGGAGTGCAGGGAAATGAACAGGCAGACAGACTGGCTGGCACTGCGCAACTTTGGGGAATGCTTATATATGATAAGGTAGACGTGGTTAGGGCCTTGTGGGAAAATGTGTACAAGTTGGAGGAGCAAATGGATCACCACAGTCTGGTGATGAGAGTGTTGCGGGGGGGGGGGGGGGGGGGGGGGGTGACAGGGGCATTTGATCGATATTCGATGCTTAGATAAAAGGCAAGACGAACGTATAATCAGAATGCTGTTGGCACCATTGGTATTGGAACTCTGTGTTAGCTGATGAAGATGGGGACAGAGCGCTTATGGGAATGCCCTGAGTGCTGTAATATCAACCCCTTATTGATGACAGACCCAGGGTATACTGGGTAGATCTTTAAGCAGGGCCCACAATGCCACTATTCCTCCCCCCCCAGAAATAGGGCTTCTGAACCAATACAAGGACAGTTACACAAGATGTGTGTTAACTGTTATACATGACAAACACAAGAGCACACTTAGTGTGCTGATTGGTAATTTATAAAGAATACAAAACCACACTTACCTAATCCTCTCTCTGTCACACAATAAATATGAACTTTGAATTTATTCACAGTTGCCCCTTATTGCTGGAACCTACTTGTTCACAGAATTTTTCCAGATCCCTTATGGGTGGGATGAGATGCCACCATGGTAAGTGTCCATGTATATTGATTGAAAGATACATGTTTGTATTGCCGGATTATCCTGTACTGTTAGCACAGTGCCTCAGAGAGTTGAAATCCAGTTACAAATACAGTGGTTCCTTACTATATGTCCTTAATCCATTCCAGATCCTTGGATCGATACCACACAGGACTTATACCCAGGGAATTGTCCTTTAAGAAATAAAGGGAGCATGATTATTCCATTGCCATAAAAACCGACCTAAATACTTTCAGATTTAATAACAGTACCACCATCATTACCAATCAACAGTTCCTTTACAGAATGTCACTGTTATCATGGCACACCTGAAAGTCTCCCTTACTCTAGCCAATTCTCCAGCCCTGTGTGCTTTCATAGCCAATGCATCTTCAGTGTCCTGTGTCCACCTCCGTGAAGTTCTGCCTCTGCCTCCTTTCCTGGAAATGCTATCTCCATCACCGTTCTGGCCTGGCCACTACGCCTTTTAACGTGAGCAGAATACCTCAGCTTTCTAGGTAGGATGCTGTTTATGAGCCAATTCTCCCTGATGCTTGATCATGTAGAATGTCAGTGTTTTTCTTCTTAATAATACCAGTTAATGGGTTTTTTCATTTCCAATAATAGAGGGTATCGGAGAGTCATTATCACTAAGGTCTGCTCCATACAGACAGCATCTGAAGGAGAAGGTCCAGTTAACAAAAGAATGCACCATTGAGGAGAGTCTCAAAGCTTTAGGCAATTCCAATGCAATCTGAATGCTTATTCTAGGATGTTGTGTTTCCTAGGTATAACATAGCCCTGCGAGTGTTTGGCTGTGCTGTGATAGAAGACACCTGGCACTACTTCCTGCACTGGGCCCTGCATGACAAGAGGGTCTACAAGCACATCCACAAAGTCCATCACCACTTTCAGGTCAGTCTGCCTCCCCGGGCTCTCTTGTCTGCCTGCTGTATCTAGTTTTAGAAAATTAAATCCAGTTGATAGATTTACCCAGTACAACTTGTCATCAATAGGAGGTCATCATCATCAAGTGCCTTGCCAGCTGGCATAGGCATTTATGCATTTCCACAGATCTCAGTCTTTTGTGTTCTGGATCAATTCCACTAATGATATTCCTCCCTGCCACTGTCTTAAGCCATCCACCATCTTTTCTCTTGCCTCTTCTGCCAGTGATCTTTTCAGTCATCATGATATTTTCCAGTGCTACTTTTCTCATCATATGATCAAAGCAATTTTTTTGTCTCCTCATTATTGTATGTAATGTTCTACTTACATTAGCTTTTTCCAGGCAGTCATTGTTAGTTATTCTGGTAGTCCAAGTATTCACCACATTCTTCTCAAGAACCCCATCTCATTTGCCTCCAAACTCTTTTTAATTTGTTTGCTCACATTCCAAGATTCACAGAGTATCCATCAGAATAAGTGGACAACTCTTAAGCAGAGTAGGGCACTCACTTGTTCTGACAGTCTGAAATTACTGTCGAAGGTAGAGGTACAAGACATACATGTGAAGTGATAGTGTTTATTATGTACACAGATGTGCATATGTGCTTTTTCACCATCCCTCCCTCTTTCCCCTACCCCCTCCCCCTTTTTTTTTCTTATGTAAAGTTACATTTTAAAGTTGTCAAATGTAGTGAGTTTGTTTGGGGATACATTAGTGGGACATGGCAGTTTAATCTTTTCTACATCATCATCAGTGCCTTCTTTGAGGCCTTGAAAATGCACTTATACCAAAGAATCCTTAGGACATTCATAAAGATCAACTCGGATGTTTTGAAAGAGGTGAAGACTAAAGATAACTTATGACAAACATCAGGATTAATATGGTCATCATTTTGTGGTCATATTATAAGAAGGAGGGAGCTGAATTATCATATACCACGAGAGAGGTAGACCAAGAAAATTATGGAGAGATAATGTCCAGACAGACCTGCAAACACTTGGTGTCACCAAAAGGAAGGAGAAGGCAAACCAGAGAGATGAGTGGAGGCAGGTTATATCTACAGCAATGAACCTCAAGGACTCAGAATGCTGAAGAAGGCCAGCCAGAGAGATGAGTGGAGGCAGGTGATATCTGCAGCAATGAACCTCAATGACTCGGAATGCTGAAGAAGGCAAACCAGTGAGATAAGTGGAGGCAGGTGATATCTGCAGCAATGAACCTTAAGAGCTCGTAATGCTGAAGAAGGCCAACCAGAGAGATGAATGGAGGTGGGTGATATCTGCAGCAATGAACCTTAAGGGCTCAGAATGCTGAAGAAGGCGGAAACTGGGATATGTGACCACTGGAAAGGTCGTGGGAGATAAGAGACAGAAGAAGGCAACTGGAGAAGATTCTTGACAGCCTTTTGTCATTGCATAGTAAGAGAGGCATGATCGCCCATACTAGTTGGTAAGGCATGTGATGATGAGGATGGTGATCTAATCCATACCCTGCACTACACCTGTTTACTTGCCCCATCAGTTTTGAATATAAGGCCTATCCAATAAAGAACCAGAATATCAGGTGTGACTACACACCACAAATAAAAGGAAATCAAATAAGACATCAAAGGAACCTTCCTCGATATAGCAGGCCTCCGGGCGGCTGAAAAAGGATCATATTTGAAATTTTTGTTGGACGAATTGGAATTGGAAGAGTTTGTGGATGAACCAGTATTAGATATGATGAGTGATGTGGTCATCGGAGCAAGATATGTAGATAGGAAGTCTTGTTCTTAGAATTATGACCTTCAAGCTTTTATCAGATTGTACTGCTGTGTGACATCTTGAAAGATCTGAACATCAAGGAAGATTGGCTAATAAACAGCATCCTGTCTCGGAAGCTGAAATATTTTGGTCATATCAAAAGCTATGACGGATTGGAAATTTTTTTAGCAGAAGGGATGGTACCAGGAAGGAGAGGCAGGGGCCGACCGATATGAAAATTGGCACAGGATATGACTCCTTGAGTATGAAAGTACATGAGGCGGGAGAACTGGCGAGAGAAGGAGTTTCTTTCAGGCAGACTGTTAAGAGAGCGACATTCTGCAAAGGACCTGCTACTTGATGATGATGACTGCTGTGTTATGGCATTAGATTTTGTAATGCTGACATATGTCATTTTCAGAAAAAGCAGCTTTACATAACTTGTTATTGCTGTGACAGGAATAGTAGTGATGATAAAGCAAATTATTCCGGCTGTATACGGTGATGGTAACTGCATAGAACACACTTTTTATGTTATCACTGGACAGAATAAGGATAGAATATGTGATTCATCTGTGCCAGAAGATGGAAATGATTTTGTTGAAAGTTTTTTTTTTTTTAACATACTGTGCCAGGAAATAGTGATAGTAGAACATGGTATAGAAATGATAGAACACCTTTCTCTAGGAGTCTCATTGGTGAAGTGGTCAAGCCGTTTGCCTTGTGCTGTGGGTTCGTTTCACAGCTTGGCCATTCAGTTCATGAGTGCAGTTTCTACTGTGATCCCTAGGGATTGCCACCAGAGCTACGAAGTTTGTGCTCTGTGTGGCGCTTTTAGTAGGTGGAAAGCCCTTCCGCAGAGAGAGACTGAGGCATATGGGATAAAACCCGGTGCATTTAAGTCGATCCTCTCGACTGTCAACTTTTTTTTGTTGTTGTTGACCTTAAGAACACCTTTCCCTGTGTGGGTTCTGGGCCTCATTTGGGGGCGGGGAAGAATACACACACAATGGTCCCCACCTCCCCCTTAGTCCTAAAAAGTAGACTAATAAGGGGTGTTTTTTCCTTCAGTCAGAGTGCATGTACCCAAGAGGCAAAGTCTGCCTACAAATAAGCCAAATCTGTCAAATGGATGTGCACACAAAACTCAAGTTCTGGGACAAGACAAGTCCAGAAGTGGACGAACAACCAGAACTTTCCCAGGCGTTGACAGCCAGTGAATGTGAAGAAGAAGAGCTTATACCAACAGATACGTACAGTGGCAGAAGATAGTGATAATAGAACAGTTCTTAACAAAATACATACTTTGCTAGGAGATGGTAATAATAGAAACTAGAGCTGTATCCAATAGGTGATTATTACTATTCGGCCCAATACGAATAATGGGACCAACTTTTTGGCCGAATACGAATAGTGTATTGTGTATAAAATAGATCATTTAAAAAAACATTTATAGTGTCAAATGTACGCTGACGTTTTACTTAACAAAATGTAGTACTGAATAGTAAACATTTAAAAACATTTTATTTTAATAACTAGGAGTAAAAGTATTCTAAGTATTATAACAAGTAACTAAACTTGCAAATTGTCACTGACAGCTTAGCTAATGCATGAAAGCTGCATTAGCTTTCAACAAAACCAATCGTTCCATGTTGTCAGCATTAAGCCAGTGTATGCAGAAGTGGGTGTAACGTAACCACTATTCATATTCAGCCCGACTGCAAGTATTCGGTCGAATACCAAATACTTATTAGGTGCACTCTTCGGCCCTGAAGTGAATACCAAGCGAATTTTTGGTACATCTCTAGTAGAAACATCTTATTGAAAGTATGTACAGCTCCAGGAGATATTAACAATGAAAGAAATTATTCCCCTTAGGTAATTGTTACAGGAGAAAGTAATTCTCTAGAAATGATTTGCTTTCAGGCTCCTTTTGGCATGACTGCAGAGTACGCTCATCCTGCAGAAACATTAAGTAAGTGATCTCTGCTGGTTTCCTGAGGTTGTTTTATAAATCATCCTTATGTTCCTGATGTTTGTAGTCAGATGTGGGACTGTGAGAGGTTGCTATATAAATCATCCTTAAGTTCATGGTGTTTGTAGTCAGATATGGGACTGTGAGAGGTTGCTATATAAATCATCCTTAAGTTCATGGTGTTTGTAGTCAGATATGGGACTGTGAGAGGTTGCTATATAAATCATCCTTAAGTTCATGGTGTTTGTAGTGAGATGTGCGACTGTGAGGGGTTGTTATATAAATCATCCTTATGTTCCTGGTGTTTGTAGTCAGATATGGGACTGTGAGTGGTTGTTATATAAATCATCCTTAAGTTCATGGTGTTTGTAGTCAGATATGGGACTGTGAGAGGTTGCTATATAAATCATCCTTATGTTCCTGGTGTTTGTAGTCAGATATGGGACTGTGAGAGGTTGCTATATAAATCATCCTTAAGTTCATGGTGTTTGTAGTGAGATGTGCGACTGTGAGGGGTTGTTATATAAATCATCCTTATGTTCCTGGTGTTTGTAGTCAGATATGGGACTGTGAGTGGTTGTTATATAAATCATCCTTATGCTCCTTGTGTTTGTAGTCAGATGTGGGACTATGAGGGGTTGTTATATAAATCATCTTTATGCTCCTTGTGTTTGTAGTCAGATATGGGACTGTGAGTGGTTGTTATATAAATCATCCTTATGCTCCTTGTGTTTGTAGTCAGATGTGGGACTATGAGGGGTTGTTATATAAATCATCTTTATGCTCCTTGTGTTTGTAGTCAGATGTGCGACTGTTTTGGGTTGTTATATAAATCGTCCTTATGTTCCTGGTGTTTGTAGTCAGATGTGGGACTGTGAGGGGTTGTTATATAAATCATTCTTATGTTCCTGGTGTTTGTAGTCAGATGTGGGACTATGAGGGGTTGTTGTATAAATCATCCTTATGTTCCTGGTGTTTGTAGTCAGATCTTCTTTTGTCCTCTCACTGATACCAGGTTGTAGCCCAGTGTTGTGGTTGTCTGTATTTGTCTTGCACTTCTCGGGTGGCCTGAGTGATGGATTTGATCATTGTTTTGCAGGTTTCTGCTACACTAGTTATCCATCTTTTTCTTAGTTTCCCATAAGTGCTGTGTTTTACTTCTAACTCAGGCCTGAGTCTGGAGAATCTCAGCGCCGTGCACAAACTCCGTTGCACCGGCAAATATCCTGAAATACTTGGGGTAGATTTTTAACTTTAAATTTTGCCCGAGCAGCGCTGTTAGGCTACTCTTTGTCGATTTCCAACTGCCAAGGTATTTTTTTACATGCACAACAATACACACAGGCGTCCGGTCTTACTACCCAGTGACCAAGGGAATTTACTAGAAGTCCACTTGAAAAAAATCCCAGCCTTCACTGGGCTTTAACCCGGGGACCTCCAGCACTTGAGGCTGACACCATACCTCGAGACCACTCAGCTCACTCTGTGGCAACCATATCATCAAGTTAGCTACCACATACTGAGGGAAGTTGTAGGAGATTAGTAAGTTATTGATTTATTTCATGCTGTGTAGTCATAGTAACTGTTAAAACAAAGTCTGGTACTGGGTTTATTGTTTAAAGTAACGGTCTTAGAAAAGAGCATGAAAAGTGTCTTTGATATTTGTAATTATTGACAAGCACCATCCCACTTAGTAGGGGGCGCTGCTCTCACAGAACCAAACTGCAACCTGCTGTGAATATTGTGCGAAGAAAAGTTTCTGTTCACAAAACTGCCACATGTGGTAGAGAACCGCATATGCCGCAGGTGCAGTCAGACTGTTGTTATCGGGTTATTTTATGCAAGGGCTAACAATCAGATAATCTCCCATGATGTTTTTTTATGTTTGTTCTTGTATTATTATATCACCTGTGATCTCCCATGACGTGTTTTATGTTTATCCTTGCATTTGTTAGTTATAGACCTGTGATCTCCCATTTTGTGTTTTATGTTTATCATTGTATTTGTTAGTCCTGGACTTGGTTATATCACCCGAGATCTCCCATGATGTGTTTTATGTTTATCCTTGTGTTTGTTAGTCCTGGACTGGGTTATATCACCTGAGATCTCCCATGATGTGTTTTATGTTTATCCTTGTGTTTGTTAGTCCTGGACTGGGTTATATCACCCGAGATCTCCCATGATGTGTTTTATGTTTATCCTTGTGTTTGTTAGTCCTGGACTGGGTTATATCACCTGAGATCTCCCATGACATGTTTTATGTTTATCCTTGTGTTTGTTAGTCCTGGACTTGGTTATATCACCTGTGATCTCCCATGATGTGTTTTATGTTTATCCTTGTATTTGTTAGTCCTGGACTGGGTTATTTCACCTGTGATCTCCCATGATGTGTTTTATGTTTATCCTTGTATTTGTTAGTCCTGGGCTGGGTTATTTCACCTGTGATCTCCCATGTTGTGTTTTATGTTTATCCTTGTATTTGTTAGTCCTGGACTGGGTTATTTCACCTGTGATCTCCCATGTTGTGTTTTATGTTTATCCTTCTATTTGTTAGTCCTGGACTGGGTTATTTCACCTGTGATCTCCCATGTTGTGTTTTATGTTTATCCTTCTATTTTAGTCCTGGACTGGGTTATTTCACCTGCCATGACTTTATAAATTTCCTTTTATTTGTTACGGAGCCGCGGTAGTGAAGCTGATACATGTGTGCCTGTGGATACGAAGGTGGCAAGTTTAAATAGGAATGGAGCCGTTATTTTTTTTCAGAAATGACCTTGGCTCCCCGGTTGACCCAGCCTTAAATAGGTACCAGGTAAAGTCTTGGGAAGTAAAGATAGCCATTGTGTTGTTGACCACATCACCCACTGAGCGTCGATTGGACTGTAAGATGTAGGTCTAGCCCTATATGCCCAGTATGCCTGAAGGTGTGGGAAAGTGTCCGTTACTATTGTTGTTTTATTTCTTTATGACAGTCCTATATTGAATTCCTAGTTGCTAGTGAAAGAACTGCAGTTGTTTGCCTAAATATTTCTAAACAATTCAATCAGCTGCGTTGAATTGTGAATATTACATTGAATTGTGTCTCTTCTAATACGATATGTGCCCTGGTTTACAAAGAGAAAATTGCCTGAGTGTAGACGAAGAGCCCAAGAACTGGCAAATGAAGAGATATTGCATATCCTTTTGGACTTCCACTCCATTATGGCAGACAGGCTGGTTGGCAGCTGGTGCTTTGGAAGTTTGTTTGTTTCTAGCTGTGGTTTGCTGTTGCAGTTTTCCCACTACTACAGAATCTAAATGAACTAACAACTAGGACTCTCCACTGGAGCTTACAGCCAGTGAACAAAGGAGATGAAGTATATGTGATATGTCTATTGTTTCATTTTCTTTAATAGTCCTAGTTTTGAGTATCCCATGTTTTTTTTTTTTCTATTCGATTCTAGAAAAAAAAATTAAAACTCGACCACGTTCAACCCTTTCTGTTCTGGTTTATTTGGGTCACTTGTCTGGTAAAGATTGTGATATGTGCGCCAGCTCCCTGACTTTATGTCCCTGTCCTAGCAACTAGACCGTTTCTTCCTGCCGGTCCTAATGTGTTCTTCTTATCCTTATGTCCTTAATGTTTTTCTCATTGCTCATCCTCTGTCTGGTTCATTCTCCTTATTATTTTGTTCTTGCGTCCCTCAGTGTGTTTCCAATTCTGTTGCCTTCTAGTTTGGCCAGGCGTACTAAATAAGAGACTGAGTTAGTTCGCAACTGTTTTTTACATAATGGTCCTTTTGGACAACGATTTATAGTTTTGCGGTTTTGAGTATTTTAAGTTGCCAAAAGTACTAAAAACAGTTGTTGGGTTTGGGTAGATCTGAAATTGTGAAAATAATTTACGTGTGATCATATCGGTCTTATAGATGTCTTCCTGTAATAAGAGCTGATGATGATTTAGATGAAATCCATGTGTTTAATGTTTATTCATGTGTTTGACGTTTATCCATGTATTTGTTACAGTCCTGGGTATGGGCTTCTTCATCGGCATCCTGCTACTGGCCAACCACGTGATTCTGCTGTGGGCTTGGGTGACTGTCAGACTTCTGGAGACCATCGATGTTCACAGTGGATACGATGTTCCCTACCTGAATGTGTTTCATCTGTTCCCTTTCTATGGAGGTAAGTTGTTCACAGTGGATACGATGTTCCCTACCTGAATGTATTTCATCTGTTCCCTTTCTATGGAGGTGAGTTGTTCGCAGTGGATACGATGTTCCCTACCTGAATGTGTTTCATCTGTTCCCTTTCTATGGAGGTGAGTTGTTCACAGTGGATACGATGTTCCCTACCTGAATGTATTTCATCTGTTCCCTTTCTATGGAGGTGAGTTGTTCACAGTGGATACGATGTTCCCTACCTGAATGTATTTCATCTGTTCCCTTTCTATGGAGGTGAGTTGTTCACAGTGGATACGATGTTCCCTACCTGAATGTATTTCATCTGTTCCCTTTCTATGGAGGTGAGTTGTTCACAGTGGATACGATGTTCCCTACCTGAATGTATTTCATCTGTTCCCTTTCTATGGAGGTGAGATGTTCACAGTGGATACGATGTTCCCTACCTGAATGTATTTCATCTGTTCCCTTTCTATGGAGGTGAGTTGTTCACAGTGGATACGATGTTCCCTACCTGAATGTATTTCATCTGTTCCCTTTCTCTGGAGGTGAGTTGTTCACAGTGGATACGATGGTCCCTACCTGAATGTATTTCATCTGTTCCCTTTCTATGGAGGTGAGTTGTTCACAGTGGATACGATGTTCCCTACCTGAATGTATTTCATCTGTTCCCTTTCTCTGGAGGTGAGTTGTTCACAGTGGATACGATGTTCCCTACCTGAATGTATTTCATCTGTTCCCTTTCTCTGGAGGTGAGTTGTTCACAGTGGATACGATGTTCCCTACCTGAATGTATTTCATCTGTTCCCTTTCTATGGAGGTGAGTTGTTCACAGTGGATACGATATTTTTGTACCTGAATGTATTTCATCTGTTCCCTTTCTATGGAGGTGAGTTGTTCACAGTGGATACGATGTTCCCTACCTGAATGTATTTCATCTGTTCCCTTTCTATGGAGGTGAGTTGTTCACAGTGGATACGATGTTCCCTAGCTGAATGTATTTCATCTGTTCCCTTTCTCTGGAGGTGAGTTGTTCACAGTGGATACGACGTTCCCTACCTGAATGTGTTTCATCTGTTCCCTTTCTATGGAGGTGAGTTGTTCACAGTGGATACGACGTTTCCTACCTGAATCTGTTTCATCTGTTCCCTTTCTCTGGAGGTGAGTTGTTCACAGTGGATACGATGTTCCCTACCTGAATGTGTTTCATATGTTCCCTTTCTATGGAGGTGAGTTGTTCACAGTGGATACGACATTCCCTACCTGAATGTATTTTATCTGTTCCCTTTCTCTGGAGGTGAGTTGTTCACAGTGGATACGACGTTCCCTACCTGAATGTATTTCATCTGTTCCATTTCTATGGAGGTGAGTTGTTCACAGTGGATACGACATTCCCTACCTGAATGTATTTTATCTGTTCCCTTTCTCTGGAGGTGAGTTGTTCACAGTGGATACGACGTTCCCTACCTGAATGTATTTCATCTGTTCCCTTTCTCTGGAGGTGAGTTGTTCACAGTGGATACGACGTTTCCTACCTGAATGTATTTCATCTGTTCCCTTTCTATGGAGGTGAGGTGTTCACAGTGGATACGACGTTTCCTACCTGAATGTGTTTCATCTGTTCCTTTTCTATGGAGGTGAGTTGTTCACAGTGGATACGATGTTCCCTACCTGAATGTGTTTCATCTGTTCCCTTTCTATGGAGGTGAGTTGTTCACAGTGGATACAATGTTCCCTACTTGAATGTATTTCATCTGTTCCCTTTCTATGGAGGTGAGTTTTAAAGCAAAGGAGCATCTGAAACAATGACAAACTTATGCAGTCAAATCCCTGTCGTTGGAGGCTAGAACATAAGTTTTTGCCTGTTTTGTAGAATCACATATGGTTTTTGGGTCCTAGGCATTTAGTAAACAGGCATACAGTTTCTCTTGAGATCTTAGAAATATGGTTTTCAGAAGAGTGCTAATATTCCTTGGGCAGGTAAAATAGGTAATGTTTTTAAAGAGTGACATTTTCCTGCTAAAAGTGGCAAGAAAAAATAGGAAGATATGAAGATAAAGAGAAATTGGGAGGAAGACAATGAGAGAAGATTCTTGGTCACTTTAAAAAAAAATTGTTTTTGTGTTATGAGAAATAAAGTGGTGTGTACACGTGAGGGGGGTGGGTGGGGGGGGGGGGGGGGGGGGGGGGGGGGGGGGGGGGGGCTCAATTGAACATACAGATTGCATAGAAGTCTGTTCTGACATTTATATGCCATTGCACAAATTTACATTTATTGTTAGAGGATATCTTCCTCTTCTTGGAGTTGCCCAGCTGCAAACTCAGGCAGAGAGTCCTGGTCCACTTCTGAACTTTGGCCTTGTTCTAGAACTTGAGTTTGGCATAGACATTCATTTCACAGATTGGCTTACTCATATGCAGACTATTGGTTACTTGCCTCTCAGGCAGATGCACTCCGCTTTTACAAAAAACCTTAATTAGTTACCTCTGACACAATGCTTGTTAGTGAAGCAGTGAAGGCCCAGAACGCACATGGAGAGAGTGTCATTTTTTCTGCAACATTATTAGAGGATACAAATGGGAAGATGTTGAGATATAGGAAATCAGTGAGAGAAGATACAAATTGGAATATGTAGAGATATAGGAAGACAGTGAGAGAAGATACAAATTTGAAGATGTAGAGCTATAGGAAATCAGTGAGAGAAAATACAAACTAGAAGAAGTGGAGATATAGGAAGACAGAGAAGATAAAAATTGGAAGATGTAGAGATACAGGAACTCTGAGAGAGAAGATAAAAATTGGAAGAAGTAGAGATAAAGGATGTCAGTGAGAGAAGATACAAATTGGAATATGTAGAGATATAGGAAGACAGGGAGAGAAGATAAAATTGAAAACGAGGTGTAGATATGCAGAAAAGTAGAAAATACAAACGAAGATGTGGAGATACAGGAAGACAGTGAGAGATGATAAAATGGGAAAATATAAAGATACTGGAAGTCAGTGAGAGGAGATAACAATTGGAAGATGTAGTGATACAGGAAGACAGTGAGAAAAGATACAAATTGTAAGATGTTGAGCTATTGGATGACAGTGAGAGAAGATCAAAATTGGAAGATTGTAGAGATATAGGAAGACAGGAAGAGAAGATACAAATGAGAAGATGTAGAGATGTAAGAATTCAGTGAGAGAAGATCAAATTTGGAAGATATAGAGATATAGGAAGTCAGTGAGAGAAGATACAAATTGGAATATGTAGAGATGTAGGAAGACAGGGATAAAAGATACAAATGAGAAGATGTAGAGATATAGGAAGACAGTGAGAGAAGATACAAATTGGAAAATGTACAGATATAGGAAGACAGTGAGAGAAGATGAAAATTGGAAAATGTACAGATATAGGAAGACAGTGAGAGAAGATACAAATTGGAAAATGTACAGATATAGGAAGACAGTGAGAGAAGATCAAATTTGGAAGATGTACAGATATAGGAAGTCAGTGAGAAAAGATACAAACTGGAAGATGTGGAGATATAGGAAGTCAGTGAGAAAAGATACAAACTGGAAGATGTGGAGATATAGGAAGTCAGTGAGAAAAGATACAAACTGGAAGATGTGGAGATATAGGAAGACAGTGAGAGAAGATACAAATTAGAAGATGTAGAGATATAGGAACAGTGGGAAAAGATTCTTGGTGGCTTTTAAAATTTTTTTTTATTATAGCACCTAAGGTTGAGTATACGTATTTATTTGTGCACTCTCTTGTATATATAGATTGCCATAGAAGTGTGCTAAATTTTCAGATGTCAGTGCACAATTTAATATTTACTGTTGGAGGATATAAGATGTGAAGAAACATGATTACTGACATCAGTCCGCAAGGCATTTGATGATGATGATGAGTACTGTTCAATACAATGTTCTTACCAACACTGTGCTATCAGTGTCACATGTGGACACTGTCTTCAAAAGACAGAAGGAAAATAGTGATGACAGAAATTGAATGTTTACGTACTAAGCTTGGTGTAACCAGGAACAAATCGGCCTAAGAACGATGATATCAGGAGGAGAGTCAGCAGAGAACCCGTATTGAACTTTATAGGTAAACAACAAATCAGATGTTTGGGCCATGCAACATGATTGGCATCAAACAGGGCACCACAGAGAGCAATGTTATTCAGATACAGTGGTAACAGAACCAGATGTTAACCAGGCAGAATATGGACCACAGAATTAACAGGGACACTGAAAATTACTTTAAACGAAGCGAACAGAAAAGCCCATTCTAGAGATCTCGTCCTGTCCTGATGCATTCCAGGAGTAGAGGAAAGAAGAAGAAGATGCTGAGTACAGCTTCTTGATGAAAGGTACAAAACTCGCAGTAATTAGACCTTTTATGAGAAGGGGTAAACTGAAGTTTGAACAACGGATCAACATCATGGCACACAGGTAGTGTGCTTACTCAAGTATGAGTCCCAAGAAGCTCAGCACAGTGCACAGGTTCTGTAGCACTGGCGAGGACACTGAAATACTTTGTGTAGATTTTTAACTCCAAATTTTGCCCGGGCAGCACCGTTAGGCTACTCTTTTCTATTTCCAACTGCCAAGGGATTTTTTATGTTCACAAAAAAGCACTCGGGCGTTCCATTTCACTACCCAGAGACAAGGTGGAATTACTAGAAGTCCATGTCCATGTGAAAAATTCCCAGCCCTTACCGGGGATTGAACCCAGAACCTCTAGCACTCGAGGCGGACACCATGCCTCAAGACCACGCAGCCCCCTGGAGTAAACTGAAAAATGTGACAGTTGTAAAGTTGTAGGGCAAGAGAGATGTGGCCAGACCTAGAGACAAGATGTGTGTAGAAAATGACAGATAACACACAAGACAGGGTGCTGTATGCAAACTGTATTCTGTAGGGAAAGGGGGGGGGGGGGGCTTAGACAGACCTGCTGCTCTTTAACCAGCTTGTTGTAAAAGGTGAGTTTCTCCCAAGTTGGAGTGTGTCTGCCTGAGAGGCGAGGAACCAGCAGTCTGCGCACAAATAAGCCGGGATCTGTAAAATGCATTTGCACACAAAACTGAAGTTCTTGAAGAACAAGATCAAACAATCAGAACTTTCCACTGGATTTTACAGCCAGTGAGTGAATGCTATGGAAGAAAAGAAAAGATGAGCTATTAGGGGTTGTATATGTTGGGTATAAAGAGGTGTGCAAGTCCCAACCCCATGCTTTTCTTAGTGTGGCTGGGTCTTGCTAGTCACACTCGCCATGGGCTAAGTCCTATGACTCCTCATAGTGCAAGATAACACTATCGTCTATAAAGACAGAAAGGTGCCAGTCAGTCAATCAGTCATCAGTGAAATGTGGGCCCAAGGATGCAGATATTGTAGCCCCTATGTCAGTCACAACACAAAGAGTCAGCTGCCCTTTGAATGATGATGCAGAAGATGAATAAATCTACAAAGGGCTTGGCATGAGTTAATATTAAGGACTTGCTCTTTTGGGGAATGGACAGAAGAAGAAAACAGCTGTGTGTGCTGCTTAAAAACAACAATATTGTATTCAGTTAACTCTTTTAGTCCCAAACAACTCACCGTTTCTGGATCACTTTGAAGATAATATAATTTACAGGCTGTCTTCTGTCACAGAAGAATGTCTGCTTCTTCTTCTTCTTCTTCTATCCTTCTGTCTTTCTATCAGAAAACTTATATCAGGAGGCCAGTAGCTTTAAAGAAAGCTGTCATGCAGTCCATGTCTCCTCGTGTACCATACAGCTTTGTCTTCATTGTAGTTGCTCTGTTGGCAGCATACTTTTGACAGTGTCGGAGAACATGCTCAGCATTTTCTGGTGCCATGCTACAGGGACACGTCTCCATGTATCCTGTACTAACAAGTTTGAACACATGTTGACAAAGTCTTTTGTGCCCTGTCCTTAGTCCGAATATAAAACATTGTCCCTCTCTAGAGAGACGATAAAGCAAGTCTTGAGAGAATTTTGTATGTGTATCCAGCCACCTTTCTTGGATACTAGATTGTATTAATGTCTTGGTGGGTTAAGTCACTATTTGATTGTACCATGTTGCGGCCTTTCAGGCCATTCTGTCCACTATTTCATTAAGATATCAGTCTGTATTCTTTAGATTCCTAGCACAATGTCTAATGTTCCATAGTATTTATGTTGAACACCTTGTGGCCAGATTATTTACTGCTTGTAAGCTAATGAGGTAGAATGAGTTAAAATAACAACTGCTTGGGATAAAAAGAGGTAATGTCATTGTGGTCGATGCTGTCTAGTTACCTATTCATTTCATTACTCTCAGGGGATTTACCTCATGTTTGTTCCAGGTGCTAGGTTCCACGATTTCCACCACTTAAACTTCACCGGGAACTATGCCTCAACTTTCACCTGGTGGGACAAGATCTTTGGTACAGACAAGCAGTTCAAAGAGCATTACGCAAAACTGGAAGACAAAAAGAGCAAATCACAGTGAGATTTCTGCCACAGGATCAACAGTTGTCAGTTTCTTCTATTTAGACAAACAACATTAGCACAATTGATCTTTCATACTACAAAAATCATTATAACTAGCAACTTACAAAAGGTCTATAAAGTATAGTTGATTAAAATCAAACAGGCGCTTTATGCCATAATTAATAAATAACCTGTGTACAATTTTTCCCACCTCAAAATGCCCATCTAAGAAGGATACACACAATGTGTTCTTATTGTGGTAGAGTGCAAGATCACATATTAATTAATTTACTTTTGTAGCTAAGTTAAATATTTTTTTTTCAGCTGAATTTTAGCATGAAGGAAATTGTATATAATGGTAGTGTAAATAAATGTGTCAGTCTTTCTTGTAAAAATTGGGACTGGAAAGATGTCAAGATTTGGAGCTGATATCATCAATTCTGAAACTTCTGTTAAATCAGGAAACTGCTGTGAGGACCTACATTGTGCAGTGTATGAGTTCTATATTAAATAATATTTGAGATCAATTTGAATGATTTGTGAAGTCAGCTTTATGTGGTATGTGAAGTTGACTTTATAAATGGTTGGCAGAGTAGACATTGAATGATCTGTGAGGTCAGCACAAACCGTAAGGTCAATACAAAATGGTCTATGACAGGGGTGGGGAACATCTGTTTTTTTTTCTGCCTTGATCATTGGGATATTTATGACATCATTTGCAGGCCACACAAAATTAATCACCAAAATCAGTCTGCTATATTTGATGAAGCATTTAATTGCTGTTGTCTGTTAGAGACAGAAGGTTGTGGATAGACATGACTGCCAGTGCCACACAGCATGGACTAGGGATTAAAATGATTTGCCCACTTGAAAGAGAATGCTTTGTGACACCTTGCCATACCAGAAGAGAAGAGGGACGTATAGAGCACAAGGTAGACCAAGAACACGAAGGAAATATAGCGTCAGAGAATCTCTGCAACAGCACCATGTGTCTGTGGTTGAGGCAGCCAGAAAAACAAGAACAGAATCTTTATCTTACTCAACACCAGAAGCGGCACAATAGAAAATGAAGAAGTGCAAGAAATCATCTTTATGTCATGATTATTGCTTGATTTTGTTGTGATTATTGCTTGATATAATTATTGTGTGTCAGTCTTTATAAATCAAAGCATTTCTAAGCAGCTGTTGTTTTTCTATCAGTCTTATTTTCTTTGTTGGTTTGTGTGTGTGTATATATTGCTGGGTCTGTACAAATATTTGTTGTGCATTTGAGGATTATCATTCAGTTTTTGCAAGTCTTAATAAAAAAGTTTTTGAGGTTTTGAACAAGGATCAACATCCTGCACACGAGAAGTAACCCATAAGTGAGTGCTCTGTTCTTCTTCTAACTCGAGTGAGTCCATCTGAAGGCAGGGGGGAAAAGGGTCCTTTACTGTTTACTTTAGAATACCACATGCACACACATGTGCACACACATGCATGAACAGGCAACCAACAGAAATCATATTTAAAGCACATGATTTTGCTTTACATACACGTGCACAGATTGCTCACAGGTTTTTGGCTTTGTGTGAAAAGGCTTAGTGTCTGATCCACTAGTTGTGATTGGGGTATACCATGTTTTCTAATGTGTTGGCTACAGTCACAACTGAAACAAACCAGGTCTACACATGCATTCTAAGGCATTCTAACTTCTAAGCCACAAATGTCAGTGTCATTTGTTAATATGGGCTTAGATTGTTCAGTTTCGGAGTTTACCAAACATAATTAAATTGTACACTAATAAATTATTAACATTCAAATTTTATGCGTGTTTCAATACATTTAAAGAAAACAACAATAATGACCACAGACAAAACTAGTTGTCACCCAGAAATAACAATAAATGGTGAAGAAACTGAAATGCCGCAAACTTTGAATATCTAGGCTAAATAAATAATAAATAGTAATGGAGACTGTTTGACTAAAATCAATAGCAGGATGGCCCTAGAAATATAACAATTAAACAACATTAAAAGTCTATGGTTATGCACCATCAAGAAAAATAAAACTCAGGTTTTTTAAGAGCTTGCTTTTTCCCTGTATCAGCATAGGGATGTGAGTTGTGGAGCATCTCCCAGTCATTAAGGAAGAAAATAGGGGTTTTTCAGCTGAATAGAAAGATTCTCAGAATACCAATAGAAAGATTCTCAGAATACCAATAGAAAGATTCTCAGAATACCAATAGAAAGATTCTCAGAATACCAATAGAAAGAGTCTCAGAATACCATGAACAAGAAAGAGAATAAATATTGACATTCTAAAAGATCTGAAGATCAAGGAAGATTGGCTGATAAACAGTATTTTGTCTGATAAATAGTATCTTGTCTGAGAGCTAAAATATTTTAGTCATATCCGATTGGAAAAACATAATAACAGAAGGCATGCTACCAAAAAGGAAGGGCAGGGGGTGACCAGCATGAAGATGAGCACAGGATATAAGTGACTCCTTGGGTATGAACGTGCACAAGACAGGAGAGCTGGCGAAAGACCAAGTTTCTTTCAGGCAGACCCGTGATAAGAGCAACATTCTACAATAGACCTGTTACATGATGATGGTGATGAGTTTCAACATTCAGCTTACTTTAATTATTCAATTTAATCTTAATTTTAATATTTACTGGATTTAATCCTAAAGTTTTAACATCTCATCATCATCATGTGCCCTGCCAACTGGCGTGGGCGCACATGCATCTCCACAGATCACGATCCCTGGTTGACTGGAACAACTCTCTTGATGATATCCCTCCATGCCATCATTTCAGCCCATCCAGAATCATCTCTCTTTGTCCGCCTCTACCCCTTTTCCACTGATCTTTCCAGTTGTCACAATGTTCTCCAATGTCTTCTCCTCTCATTTTGTTGCAAAAAAAAAAAACAATGTTTGTCGTCTTCTTATTGTTGTATATAGAGATCTACTTTCATTAGCTTCTTTCAAGCAATCATTGTTAGTTACTCTGGCCATCCAAGGTATTCGTCTGAGGAACAACATCTCTGTTGCTTCCAAATTCTTCCTAATTTGCGCACTGACATTCCAAGATTCGCCGCCATAAAGCAGAACAGGTTCTATGTAACATTTTAGCAGCCTCTTTCTGACATTAAATGAGAGCGATTTATTGCATATTTTTCATTTTCTGAAATGCAGCTTTCGCTTGACTAATTCTGCTTCTAATCTCTGTCACACATTTTTCATCTGATGAAATGATTGTTCCCAGATCTTTAGAAACTCGTGAGTTTCTTGGGAATATAATGTGGTGGTTTCCCGTTGCCTTCCACATCCACATGGGGTACTTTAACCTGCACCTGTGACAGTAATTTCCTACTGTCATCAAAAGTCTGTGCCCTTCTCTGTCGAGTGATCCAATTATTCTGGTGGATACTCGTTCCCCATATCTGCGCTAGCCACACCTTGGTGTGTTTCCTACCCTCCAGTGGATACTCGATCTTCATATCTGCGTTAGCCACACCATGGTGTGTTTCCCACCCTCTGGTGGATACTCGGGCCCCTTATCTGCGTTAGCCCCACCACGGTGTGTTTCCTACCCTCCGGTGGATACTCGGGCCCCTTATCTGCATTAGCCCCACCATGGTGTGTTTCCTACCCTCCGGTGGATACTCGGGCCCCTTATCTGCGTTAGCCACACCATTGTGTGTTTCCTACCCTCCACCACTTGGAGGTGCAGTTTCGGATTTTCCCTTTTATAAATTTTTAGACCAAGATGGCGTTTCTCAAACTCTCTAGGTACTTTCAACATCTAACTAAATTTAATCCTAAGGTTTCAACATCTAACTAAATTTAATCCTAAGGCTTCAATGTCTAACTGAATTTAATCCTAAGGTTTCAACATTTAACTGAATTCAATCCTAAGGTTTCAACATCTAACTAAATTTAATCCTAAGGTTTCAACATCTAACTAAATTTAATCCTAAGGTTTTAACATCTAACTAAATTTTATCCTAAGGTTTTTAACATCTAACTGAATTTAATCCTAAGGCTTCAACATTTAACTGAATTTAATCCTAAGGTTTCAACATCTAACTGAATTTAATCCTAAGGTTTCAACATCTAACTAAATTTTATCCTAAGGTTTTAAAATCTAACTGAATTTTATCCTAAGGCTTCAACATCTAACTGAATTTAATCCTAAGGTTTCAACATCTAACTGAATTTAATCCTAAGGTTTTAAAATCTAACTGAATTTTATCCTAAGGTTTCAACATCTAACTGAATTTAATCCTAAGGTTTCAACATTTAACAGCATACTGAAACATTTAAAAGTGACACTTGTCTCTAGTGGGTCTTGGCTCAGTCTGCATGCTTTTTTTCTGTTGTACCACTAGTTTGTTTACAGACTTTTAAACACATTTTTAAAATTATAACTGGCGATGAAATAATTTTGGTGTCTTTATTATAATTAATTAATAATTTTTGTGTTGCTTCGTATTAAAATATTTGTGACATTAAAAGTAATTTTTATTTTCTAAAAATTATCAAAAGTGGGTTGTGTGTGATTTCACAACAAACAGCCCTGCTTCAACAAAGTGGGTTATGTTTGATTTCACAACAAACAACCCTGCTTTAACAAAGTGGGTTATGTTTGATTTCACAACAAACAACCCAGCTTTAACAAAGTGGCGTACGTGTGATTTCACAACAAACAACCCTGCTTCAACAAAGTGGGTTGCATGTGATTTTACAACAAACAACCCTGCTTCAACAAAGTGGGTTATGTTTGATTTCACAACAAACAACCCTGCTTTAACAAAGTGGGTTATGTTTGATTTCACAACAAACAACCCTGCTTTAACAAAGTGGCGTACGTGTGATTTCACAACAAACAACCCTGCTTCAACAAAGTGTTTTGCATGTGATTTCACAACAAACAGCCCTGCTTGTCGCCACCTTCTCTTTCTTTTTGTCTTCTTCTGGTTTCCTTAGTTGACTAATGTTAGGATCTTCTTCTTTGCTTTCACCATGTA